GATGTCTAAAATTCATTACCAAATATTTGAGCTAAGTTTGGCACAACGGATTGGCCTGTTTTGCTTTTGTTTCTAAACAACCTTAGGACGACGATGCAAAAATAGTGGTATGTTGAGCTTTATAGGTCTTGACGTGTGATTGAAGATAATAAAAGATCCAATATTCTCACACCCTAATCGACCCATTGACCAGTGACCGAGGTGAAATTGTCATTTTAACTTGGTTTCATGTTTCAAAGGCCGTATATGGAATTTAGCGTGAAACTATAATCAATAGTAACAGGTCGATGATACTATAATGGATTAAGGTGGATATTATTATTATTTAAGTTTTCATTCAAATTATGGTCACTATACTACCAACAATATAAGATAATGCAGAGAGGTAGGAGTGTGCTCAGGTTGGATAAGAAAATTATAGTAAATGACATTTTTTACATATAAAAAATAAATGGATACTAGCAACATTAACCACCATAATTTATCTAATACTATCCGTTAAAATTTTATATGTGAGTTGATTGGTGAAATGATCTCTCTCCCCGAAAAGTATATTACCGACACATAAATTCTTCAATATGATGTGGCAAATATGATTTTGACATTTTATGTCTAATATTTCATTACTAAACATTTGAGGAATTATGTATTGATTGTCGATGTTAGGTTTAATGTAACTTTCATTCTAAAATTCCACATAAGATGTTGGACCTAGTGCAATTGATTAGAAAAATGGTTTCCGTGGGTGACACGTTCAAGGTGAATACAACTTCGACCCAAGACAGCCATAGATTTTTCCGAAGCCTTGTTTGACCTTCTTGTATGTGTTTACCTTTTTTCAATAACATAAAACTTTTAAATGAGATTGTTAAGAGTCATTTAGCAGGGAGGTTTTTATTTTCTATAAGAAAATAATAGCGTTTGTCCAACTTCTTTATTTTCTCAAGAGATGCCTTTACTCGCATTCAAGATTCTCGCCTTCTGGTTGAAAATTAAAATTCATATAGCTATTAATTTATTTACATATTAACTAGGTGCTACAGTCCCGAATGTGCTAGAGGAGAGAGAGGATTCTTGCGTAGGTATAAAAGTGCAAACATGCTACAGGACAGGGTGATTGACAGATTCAAAAACAAGTGCCCCACGTGTCGGCACATGATTGAGCAGTTTGAAAAAAAAAAAAAAAACAACACTCAATCAACACTTGTCACATCACCTTTTTTTTCCCATTCTATTAATTTATTTTTAACCTTGGAGAAGGAGAATAATTCATAAAAGTGGGCATCATGTTACACCGATTTGACTCGATTTCAATGTTTCTAAAATTTAGTGCCATTCTCGATTTGACTAAAACATAAATTAAAAATCTAATTTTGATAAAAATTAATGAATTTTTTGCTGATAAAAGTTACATAAATTTATAAATTCAAATCTCTCTCTCTCTCTCTCACTGTAACTGTAACACCAATAAAAAATGGTGGTAAAAGTGATAAAATAGAAAGAATTTGTCATAAATTAGAATCATTCTTTTATCTTCATTTATGCTATTATTGTCAATTACCATAATTGCAAACGCTGTGGCTGAGATTGATGGATCAGTCCAACACCACAACAATACATGGCTCTTGTAGAAATAGGCCCAGATTATTATTTTGTTACATGGCCCATGCAAAATCACCACGTCCTCCAATTCCATTAAGACAAATTTACTACGATTAACTAGGGGATAAATTTATGGGAAAAATCGATGAGTAAAAGGTTACATACATATTTGGAAAACGAAAAATAGATCACAAACTTCAAAATTACAAAAATCCTGAATTTTGTGGGATCTAAAAGATTTTAAGCAAATAATATTTAAATAAGAATTAATTAAATTTCTCACTCCGATAACCAATGGGCATTGAGGCCATTTGTGATTTATCTTGGAGTCAAACCTCTTATCCTAAAATAATTAGAA